CGCGAGTCCCCACCCCTCTCTCCCTTACCTTAGTCGGCCGCTGTCGCGCGCTTCAGCCACTTTAGTAGCCGCTTCTAGTTTCTCGTGGCGGCGTTTGTGGCTGTGGCGTGTGGCCTGTGTGCGGCGACACTTAGATGCAAAACGATTGAGAATAGTCCCCCAGGTACACAATCTCCTTGTAATAAAATGACCGGCCGGTTCGAATGCAGGTAAATACTGTTATTACGCATTCTTATCTCCACTGATGCAATTTCACGTGCATATTCTGTATCGATAAACAGTTGTGAAGACGTTATTTCTTAATATTTATGAAAATCCTTCAAATATTATTAAAACATTTTTAATTAAGATTTCATTTATACCTACACTATTGTTTGCATTTTCCTGACAATTTCGTATAAAATTCCGTATGCTTTTATGAGCCGGCTTAAATGTTAAAATACCGTATGAATACGGACAAATCCGTGTATATCGCAACACTGGCTTAGACATTTGATGCATATATTTCGATAGTTAATCCCAATAAAATAATTTTCAATAAAATGAAACGATACATATTATTTGATCTTGCTTCAATACCAATGATTTGCGTACATATATCAGTAATAATAAAAAATAGGCAAAAAAACTGGTAAAGTACAGATTACGGCTCTAGGGAGTCTGCTCGAATTTGGTTGGTCGTGACAATGAGAAATAAAAGGTTTAAAATTAGGTATGGTGTTTTCTATTTTGTTAAGTTATGAATCATTGTCTTAATTTTTATATACTACGGCATTGTTGATTCATCATATACGAAGGCGTTATTAGCAGGCAAGCCTAATAAGTGATTAAAAATGGCTCAATATTATATTTATTATTATTAATATAATATACACATGAATTGGTTGTAAATCGGTTTTATTTTATAATTTCAATAAGGAATACTGACGATTAAAAACATTACTTACTAATGATAGCATACATAATAAGGTTTTTTTTGCAAGTATTTTTCTTCTTTTCATAACAAATTTCTTGCAAAAATTGTTCTTGAAGAGCTCTAAATGATATCAATCGAAGGTAGGTTCAAATTTTTATACCGATTTCATACGGATTGGATTTAAAAATTGCCATACGAATTTCATACGGAATCCGGTAATGAAATTACGGAAACACCGGCTTATAGATCTAGCAACACTGGTCTAACGATCACATACAAAGTACGTAATTGATGCCGTCGTTGACTTGATGTAATAGGCATATAAATTAATGTGGTTTATAATGCTAATAAACTCTGGGATAATTTAGTCCTAAATTGAAAATCTTGTACTACATAAAATAATTAACGGACACGATACGCAAATATGGACATGAATAACACGATTACACAAAAAAATATACAGGAATCGAACCCGGGAACTTTGAGACGAGAACGGCGCTATCGCAGTGCAACAGCAGGTCTCATACACATACTTAACAGTATATTCTACTATCAACAATGGACTACTGTCGAATAACATTCACAATGTAATTAAAAATTATATTTGCAAGTACTTAGTAAAAATAATATTCATAGTAACGACCGCCAAGCCCGTCCTTTTGTGTCGGAAATTCGTCAACCAACATATGTATCTAGTTATTAGTTATTACAAAATTCGCTGACCTCAATAATATCAATAATTCGATCGAAGTCTCAATGCAATCAATGAATTATTTGAGTGCGAAGCCAAATTAATGGTGTCAGTATACGTTTTGCTACTGTGAAGTCATTAATTTTATTTCTGTATCTTCACAGTTTAATAGGGAGGACGTTGAAACCTCTGATAGGCCCAGCGAACTAGTTTAAATAGTAAAAAATACATTTGATTTAATTTGATGACCTCTATAAGATAGTAGCACCGATGCCCGACAGGAGACAGTGATCGTCATTTTTTTCTATGACCAATGCAAAAAAGAGTACCTACTTTTATACCCTGAACCCTCGAGCTATAGACACTCGTTCACACAACATAGAAAGATGTTGGAAGGGTGATCAGAGGCCGTTTATACGAGAATGGATGTCGCCGGCACGCAAACACCCCCCACCCCCACATTAATTCCACCTAATAGATAATAACCAATCAACCGACGCGACATCAAACAAAAGAACCAATCCGCGCTCACGCCCGAGAGCAACGACGTAATCAGAGCCAAGTTTTGAAGCTTTTGCTCACACATAACTGTGGCGTGCCTGCTCCGCCCACAAAGCCCTTCTTACCGCTTTCTGTGTTCTGTGCACTCTGTGTTACCATGTTTTGTGATCGGATACCTATTCTTATTTTCATTAATCACGGAAGGAAATGTTGATCATTGGATCTTATCGGTCATTGGTATCTCTTCCTTACGTACTTGTAAAACTTAACTTAAATTGTAATTGTAAATGTCGCCGCTGCTGGGGTGGAAGCCTCCTTTGTAGATGGGATAAGGAGATTGGGGAATGACCCACCACGCCCACTCATTGTGGATTGGCGAGCAAGGGTGGATCCAGGGGAGAGGGGTCATGGGGCTGGGTCCATCTGTACCCACTTCACAATCTGTACCCACTGTGACTTGATCACGACTATATGACCCCCCCCCTGGCGCCAAAGCTGGATCCGCCCTTGTTGGCGGGTGCTAACGACTGCAGCTGGTATCAAACGCTTACAATCCTAAGCACTCCGGAGTTGGAGATAATAAATTTTTGGTCACCCATCGTCGTTGCGAAAGTTGCAATTGTAGTGTTGTTACTGATTGAAACCGAAGAAGAACAAGCTGAATCTAAAGAAAGATTTCCCCCCATTATCTGGCATGGCTACAGATGCATCTTAAAAACTCCCGCTTGCAAAACCCGAAAGCCAAATTACCATGGTTGCTTACCGCAATAAGGAACAAATTAACACAAACTCTAATTAATTGGATTACTTACACAGTTTCGTCTTTATCGCTACCGTCAACAAAACAAGGCCCAGTTAAGCAACTTCTCGTGAGCACGGACCAGTGACGTAACTAATCCAGGCACCACTTATACAATGTCCCCGGGTTATGTAAGTCTCGAACCCAGTGGACCAATTCTGGACAAGGTTGTCCCATTGGCGAATTACATTAAAAATAAATTTCGGAGTTTTATTATTTCTTAAATCATTATTTATTCTTGTAACTTTACAAACTCTACATTATGCATATATCTAATTGAACCATTCTGACATATTCCTGAAATATTCTGCATTTTCGAAAAATGTATTATACCCAAAGTCATTGGAGTCAGTCACAGGCATCCCAACACAAGTATTAATTATTACTTATTGGGTTGTTTCAACTTGTACTGTAAACTGACTCTTTGGGAAATAAAAACCATTTTCATTTTATTTTATTTTGAGTAGCTTGCCCAGAGCTATAGAAGAGCTAATCACGAAGCTTCCAAAATTACTTTACCTTACTTTCTATTTTTTTTTTTTATTTTCACTAACACAATACAGTTATACAAAAAACAACTTATTTCGCCAAACTGAAAAGTCAGTTTGTTGGCGAATATGACGCTCTTTACATTTTTTTTTCTTATTATATGCATATATATATACCCACCACCAATATGCAAATACTATACAAAATTTTACAAAATTTGGCACACAAATAAACCATTATCTGGTTAAAAGTAAGTATCCTATGCGCTGGTTCGCACATAGGATACTTACTCTTAACCAAAGTCCTCTACAACAAAATTATTCAATTTTTTTTTAATTTCTTTTAAATATACGAGTATGTTTACTTCTACATTTTTTCATTGTTGGGCTTATGTTGTTAAATATTAAAATCTAGACTTGGCGAGCTTAACATTTTAACAATTTATATAGATATATAATTCTTAATTTTATATTGTGTCATATATTATTACAGTTATAATCAATTTCAAGTATCCAGTAGCGGATTTGCGATTTTCGTAGGGCAAGTCGGGCTTTTCGCCTTATATAAAATAACCACCACTGATCGGAGTCAACCCTTTGACAGATAAAAGCAGTTGCTTGTTTTAGGATTCCGGCATATTGAATAGCCTCGTTTCAATACAATAATACCTCGCAAGCATCGCATAGCCTCTGTCTTAAATTAGATATAGGTACCCAAATAAATCATCCTTGTAATAAATTTATAATAGTATCTACTCAAATTCATTACAAATGTCGACAATGCTTGCCCAATCGCCTTGGATCGCCTGGTTGCAGTTTCGACCGCAGATTAAATAGTTTAATGAAGCAAACACTCTTTTAACTTGCAACAACTACGCACAGAACCAGTGATTATGGCCACCCGTGAATAATTTCACCGTTTTTGATGCACACCATCCAATTTGTTTGTGTGTAAAGTGTCGTAATTTCGAATCGGTCTTTCGAAATGACAGATGCTGCTTATAAAACCTTTATTTGATTCCCTAATCTTTATTTGGTATCCGATTACTGTTAATATTTCATAGTGAAGTTAACTCTAAATTGATAAAGTTTTATCAATTTAAAGTTAACTTAGCAAAAAACTTAGGATAATGTTTATGATTCTTTAATCAGAAAAACATCATATTGTTCATAATAATATTATCCATAATAACGTGAGTCATAGGAAACTTTATTCTCTTCTAGCACGAAATTTTTATATTATTTCAAAGCCTAGACTTCTTTTTAGGCTAAGTATGTTTCAAAATTCTTAAATCAAGTCTATAACAGAAACTCTGTAAGCAAATAACACATTCTATCACTCTTGTAAGCTCTATCACTACTACTACAAACAGTTGATTAATATAGATCGATATACTAAACCGAATTTAGTTCAAATTTGATTTAAGTATGTTGGTCTTTATCTAATTCGAATTCAAATCTTTTTTCGACGTCATACTCTTCCTACTTTTTTCATATGGGAATTCACTCCTTTTGAAGTCAAGGTTTTTATGTTCCCTGGCTAGGAATATTTGGACCTTCAATAGTTCCTTTTTCAAAGTGACATTCAATCTCTTTCCTCACCAGGCGCATCATGGAGTACGGTTCCTCAGCTCCGTGGTCAAAGATCCTGCGAGAGACCATCGGTGATTGGCGGCTGAACGGTGAAGCTTTGCGGGATTACTTCAGACCGCTCGAGGAGTGGCTGAGGAGCGAGAACCTCAGAACTGGAGAGTACCTCGGCTGGAGCTATGACGGAGACTATTGCAAGTTTAGGTAAGATATGGCTATTATTATTTGAAAATATGTTGCCTCTTGTTCCGGACTTCCTACAATTCCAGTTTCTTCAAAATATGTGGAAGACAGGTAGTGTTCTTGTCAGCTGGCAGGGTTAGAAGCGTCGGTGTGGTAGTTAAAACTATTGCACTAGTTGTCTTGAGTCTATCACCACTTAACATTAGGTGGGCTGTAGTCATATTTTGCTCACATGGACTTTTCCGATTTCGTATTAGGGGATTTTGCGATTGATCTCCCCATTCAATATTCTTCATTATTAGGCATACCTATTACTACCGTATTGGCAAGGGCCGTATGCATGACGACGCATATAAAAAGTAAAAATAATACAATACTTTTACATACATATTTTGAATTACAGTAATATTATAAAGGCGGAAGTTTGTGAGTGTGTATGTTTGTTATTTTTTCACGTCTAAATGGCTGGAGCGATTTTAATAAAATTTGGTATGGAGTTGACACCCTGGATTAACACATAGGCTACGATTTATTGCGGGAAAATATCCCTAATAAATTGCGGGTACTACATACGAGTATCATCGGTTTAAAGGTAAAACTCACTCAGTGTCACTTTGACTCATAATGAGTTTTTGCTACTATTACTCCTTTAAATACAAAATCTATGGTAAGAAATAATCAGTGAGTGCATACTTTGCATAATCTAGGATAAGAAATAATGACTAAGTGCATAATAAACAAAATCTATGATTATTTTATCCAATACTTTGGACTGACAATATTTCGAATCTTAAACTACGAACTGACAATTGTTATTCTTTACGGCGGGCTTATACTTAGATGTTTGGTGTCTGTAACTGGTATATTATTATATTTTATGTGACAAGGTGATTAATATAAGTCTATTCATCACTTTTCAGCATCGAAACAGCAGGACTTCAAGTGTATGGAGGGTTCTACAATGCCGCTCACCGCAACTTCGACATCACAAGTTTCATCACAATTTTCTTGGCGTCCCTCATCACCACAGTCGTTATACGTCGTTGGTGATATACTTAATTTATCACGATTATTCTAAATAAAAAGTATGCCTGAGCGTTATTATTTTTTTACCTAAGAAATGTGTTAAAGAAAACTTTCAGCGACACAATTACAGTATTTGTTCATAAAATTTATAAGTTTATATACGTTATCAAGTAAAGACAATATTTAGTTTATTTTATAACTATTAATATTCGAAAGTTTTACAATACAGCAAAGGACAGAATGATAGAATAAAGTGCGCAGTCAGAGAAGATACTAAGTATTTTGGTTGTATAAAATAAATATAAAGTTAGAAATGCAATTTTATTCGACACATTGAATGTAGTAACGCAATAACATGAAAAAAAAAAGATTTGGTGCGCTCCATTTCATTTCATATGAAGCTTTAATACAGTAGTACAGTTAATTTCATAAAACTTCTTTATGACTTAGCAGTAGCAGTATACTTAGAAGAATACTTTTAGAATAATTCATAAGACTAAATTATATTAATAACTATTCCCTACAGCCTTTTTACAAAACCTACTTAAGGAACACCTGTAAAATCTATGATACGTCAGTAGATTACAATGTTGTTATATTTCTATGTTTAATAACGGACTAGTTGACATCACGTTGTACTTTCATAATAATATTTGGATAGGTTGATGACTAATGATAAAGAATTTATAAGCATAATTTCGTTTGAAGAAAGGTAAACATTATAAACAAATTTTGTTTGGAAAGATATAATATTAGACGTGAGGGGTACGTATTTTTTTTATATTAAGTTTGTATATTGTATAGAGATAAGATTTTGATTTATATATCTTTATATTTTGTAAATAGTTATTATGTAAAGATTTAACATGACATTTCAACAAATTTGAATGTGATAACATAACACAAAATTAAAGTTTTTTTGCGTTTAACATTTTGTTTGATTACCAACACTGCCCTATTATTTTATTTATTGTAATTATGATTTTTTCTTTCTAACCTGCAATAAATATATTAACTTAAACCTCAACTATGTTTGATTATTACAAAAAAATATTATTTTTGTAATAATCTTAACACCTTATTAATACTTTTAAAGAAAACAGATAATTTCTCTTGAGTGGCATAAGTATTTTCTCGTTTTTTTCTAAATGTTCCTGATACCTATGTAAGCACATTCATAACGTCGTACGTAAATACCATGAAAAAAAAACTTAGAACAAATCAGCCAGTATTCAATTAAATTAAGTAAGTATATCACCATCAGCCTATTAATCTCCCCACTGCTGGGGCACAGGCCTTCCCTATGAATGGAATAGGGAGATTGGGCCATGACCCACCACGCGGGCCCAGTGCAGATTGGTGGGTGTTAACGACTGCAGATGCAGCCGGGACCAACGGCTTAACGTGCCTACTGAAGCACGGAGGAGCTCGAAATAGTAAATTTTTGGTCACCCATCCAATGACCGACCACTGCGAAAGTTGTTTAAATTCAACGATCGCAGCCGAACGCGCTAACCACTTGCGCCATCGAGCTCCTCAAATAAGTATATGTACTTGGTTTAACCCGGTGATTAACTAATACACAGTGAGTGCAATCTCTTTAATGTGACAGTTAGAAAAACATAATAAATCCCGTATGAAAACACCTTCTCGTGTTTATCTATACATTTAGATGAGATGCCAAAATAAACGCAACCAATCGACCTTCACCGGCAATTTTCCTATCATGTTTCGTCTACGCAAATATTTTTGATTTGATATTTTTAATCTCTTTTTTCCTGGTAAATGGAAATGGAAAATGGTATCTCCGTCAAGCACTTCATTTATATTTTGAAATTTTCGCAGGCATTATCAATTATTTGAATGTAAAATATTATCAATTTTATATCAGCCCAATTGGGCAATAAGTGTATACAACAGAGTTCCGATTTAATTAATAAGTGTATACTAATCTATCATACTTACACTATTGTTATACAATATCGTCGCTTTGATTTGAAGAAAATAATAACTTATAATTATTTCGTTATGACGTCATTTTATGGGTACGAACGTACAAATATTAAGTATTGCAGACTTCCTTGCGATGACACCACAGATGAACTCCCCTCCGCAAGTAGTTTTATTAGTGTGAGAGCAGTAGTGAAGGCCGGGGACACACCCACCCGCAACGCTCGCTCGTGTTTACGTGCGCTGCGAGCTAATACCTGCTTGTCGGCTATGTTGCCCTGGTACTTTAGGGCCAGTTAACCGAGACAGAACAGGATTTCTGCTGTTCTTTCTCAAATTCTCTTCATTGGAAAACAAAGCCCATATTTGCACAGCATATTTGATAACCTCGATTTAACTAAAATAATACAAAAATGTCAAATTAATATATTCGTTTTATTGTCTCCCTTAATGGACTATTTTATTTTGTGAATATTTCAGGCGTATATCTGCTTCCGTTATTAATATCGAGCAAAAACGCCAACGTTTGTTATATGGGAACCCCACTGAAATATTTGTTTTATTCTGTCAATAGTATTTCTTGTTGCAGCAGCAAACGGAAATACATCATGTGTAGAAATTTCAACTGTTTAGATATCCCAGTTCATAAGACAGAGGAACGGACAGTTGAGTCTTAGTAATAGGGTCCTGTTTTACCCTATGGGTACAGAAACCTAAAAAGTAGAAAACTTACAAATATCAAAACTATATCTACTGAAAGTGCTTTTTATTGTGATAAAAAATACTATAAAAATATTAAGGTACTGTGAATTTTTGAATAAAGTTGCGATTAGTAGATTAGATATTTGATGAAAATATAACTAGAAAAAATTCCACGCGGACCAGGCAGCAGACGGGACTCGAACCCGCACCCTTCGCAATCGGGGCGAATGCACTGACCAATTATGCTACCGCGGCCCTCACGGACCGCGTCGAAATTTTTCTATCCATTCTTAAGCTGCAAGGCAGCGCCATCTCTTCGCATTATAGGTAACCCACAGTGCATTCGCCCGGATTGCGAAGGGTGCGGGTTCGAGTCCCGTCTGCTGCCTGGTCCGCGTGGAATTTTTTCTAGTTATATTTTCTTTAGATTTAAACATCAAGCAGTTACATGCTTTAAAATAATAAAAATTAATAGATATTTGATGTTATTTAACTGTAAGGTTTGAGTAGAAAGTAAATGATATTATGTAAAGTGGTATTTTCGGTTTTATTTTGCGATTCTTATATATGCGACTAAATGGTCTAAATTTTACATTTTGAATCACGGATCTGAACACAGACGACCTCCGTGGCCGAGTGGTTTGTACGTCGGGTTACAGGTAGTCGTCTACTCGAGAAGTCTCGGGTTCAAATTCCGGTGGTGGTACATGTTTTTGTGATGAATACGAGCATTTGTATCCAGTCATGGATGTTTATATTTATTTCTGTATAAATAAACGTATTCTATCCGTTATCCTAGTATTCCCATATCACAAGCCTAAAGTGCTTACTTTGGGGCTAGACTAATTGGTGTGAGTGTTGGAAATATTTATTACTAGCTGTGCCCCGCGGTGTTACCCGCTGTTTATTAGGAATATTTTCCCGCAGTAAAACGTAGCCTATATGTTAATCCAGGGTGTCAGCTAACTCCATACCAAATTTTATTAAAATCGCTCCAGCCGTTTAGACGTGAAGAAGTAACAAACATACACACTCACAAACTTTCGCCTTTATAATATTAGTGTGATTTTTTTGTTTTGAATGGACATGCTTTTTCTATTTATTTTTTTGCATGATGATAAATCATTAATGTATATTTCGCATTTTATTTATGACATTATATTTGACTCTGAAAGATTCATTTAACTTAAGTAGTTTAGCTAGAGGCGCGCGCACTCTGCTACCGTCTCGTGTCGGTCGCGTCTCACAGAACACCTTGGGAGTGCTGTCGCCCTGGTACTTTGGGTCACGATTATACGGGGTACGAGGCGGTCTCACGAGGGGTCCACACCCAACGCCATACAATACAACAACTTAACGAGTTTTTTCAAGTGGTGATGTCATCACTCGTTACATTAAGTTTATATTATTTTTACTTTGACTTTAATTGATGTGATCTTTGTTAATAATTATAATAAGAAATTATTCATTTCTTGAAATGCTTTTGTTTAATTTTGAATTTGAAGGCTTTGGTTTCTTTTAATTTACTTCGAGTTAATATCAGTCAAATAAAATCAAAGTAAATTTAAACCATTTTTTGAGTACGTACGGTTTGGATGTATGTAAATAACTACATAGTTACGGCAGTGTAAAGTGGTGTACCGAAAATGATACTATTATTTTAAAAAAATCATGATTCTCTCGAGTTCCTTTTCTAGTCATTTAGAGGTAGTGAGTACCTATGAAGTATCTACTGTTCCAATCTTTTATTCAAACTTCAAAAAAAAAAATAACAATTAAATCACTTACTATTGGTAAGTGACTAATGAATCACGACGAAAGCAATCCACTAACCCTTTAAAATAGCTTTAAAAGCCACCTTAAAGTGTTTCACAGTCCCCATTAATCCCGTCCTGCCCCCTTAAGCTAACTCCGTCTCATTGATAAACAATACCCGTTTAAAATAAACAGCTGAGATAGCACATTCTTTCCCTCCATTTCTTATCCGACATTGCAGCGCCAATGCCGCCTTTATCGAAGTATCCGATCCTATCTTCACATAGGTAATATTACCTGTTACATACATCTTGCACAGTTATACTAACCTGGTAGATTTAGTTATGAAATAGTGATGTTATAGTTTTGTTTTCCTAGTAGTTGTGAGCCTATTTATTCCAAATACATAGTTTTGCATAAATTCCAAGAACCAATAATACAGTTTACTCCAAGTATTTCTCTCTTCATTATTGCATTAACATAACGAATAAAAAAAAGTTGCTAAAATTTCGTGGCGCAGCAAATTTATAAGACATGCTCCAGTATCTCATAGACATAGTGAAAAACGTATCGCAATCAACGATAATTTTTCATTTTACAAAAAAAAAAACTTAAAAAACGTTTTACTTTTGTTTGCCACATTGTAGTGTTATGCAAAATTAGAATATAAAATAGTAAAAAACTTAATGAAAAGGTTATTAAACTAGCTAGCTTAACTAAGCTATGACAGTACGCTACTATGATGTCTGTTGTCAAATAGGCACACCCGTTGCACACCCCCTCAAGATTTCATGGTTCTAGCGACAATGTGACGCCGACTAGGAGCTTTATGAAATATATTAAACAACTAGATGTATGAGATATGTATCGAATAGTTCTTGTTATTGTTTCGCACCTCTTGCGTGACTATGGTCGCCTAGTACTTTTAGTTCAAAATAGAGAAGACTCGCGTCAGTTTCGCTTACAAATAGGATGTATTTATTACACAATAGCCAAAAAGCAATTTTTGTTTTTTATCCCACTTACACAAAAAATCTTAATGCGAATTAAAGTTTAATCATGTTTCATCTTTACATCTTAGTCAATTGTATAAAGTCAAATAGAGATAGAATTAAGAGCTTGTGCATCAGAGTTCTATAACTGAATTTAGGTCAAATCGGCAATTGTTTACTGTTAGCCTAAGAAAGGATCATAAAGAATATTTTTATGACTAAATGGCCAATCCATCTTAATTGCTCCATTGCATTTGTTTCTGTATGTTTGTAGAAATGCTCTTTTAAAAATCTCATCAGCAGTGTAGTCGTGTGAGGCGGGTCGCTACGTTCCTGTAAGTCCTCTAAAATATGGTTGAGCGACGTGAATACTGGTTCATACGTTAGCGAAGATGAGTCCGCTCTATGCTACTTAACTATTGAAATAATATCAAATTAATACATTTTATTAAACATACCACGATTTTTTATTTAAGTAATTATTATACTTACCTATATTTAAAACGCTTACCACAGACTTTTCTTCACACATATTTGCGACCTAATGAACGCATATTTGCTCGCATACATAGCGCTTCTAATATGATCATGATTATAATAACTATTACTCACATTTATTATGCTTAACACTATTAAGCATAACTTTTATGCATGCGATTTCCGACATCTCTTCTTTAAGTTCAATTATTTAAGTTCAGAATTGAAGACTGAAGACGTGAAGTGAAATGTAGAGAGTGCACAGATATTTTAACATATTATGAAAATGTGTTATATATAGATATATATTCGGCTAAGTTAAATATTGATTTGATAAGTTGTTGTTGTTACCCTGAATATGGACTCTGTTGAATTTAGAGTCAGCAATATCATATTTCTAAGATTTTGCATGTCATTGCTTTGTTGCTATTTTAGGAACTATAGAGGATTTTCTGTGCTGTTATTTTATTATGGATTTTTCAAGAGTCTATTCAAGCGGATAAATGTGGAATCGATGAAGCATTTGCGGTAAGGGCTAGCTCAGTATTCTTTAAGACAAACTTCCAGCATTAAAACGAATGATTGCGAAATGTCTCACTTTCAATTACAAAAACTTGATTCGGGCTTAATATTAATCTTTTTTCTATCAAAAGGTTTTCTAAGTCCTCGAGTTATCGTCTGGAAACAAAAACATGAAGCTAACCCAAAAGCTTCGTTTCAGTAACTGGCCGAACACAGCTCTGCAAAAGTTCCAATTTTCGACTGAGTTACGTAACTGATTCGGCATTCCTCGGGGGTGTCCTATCGCGCCGTTGCATCCCAGCCCATTTTGTACGTGTCCTGTGCCGAGTCCCGGCACTGCGGCTCCCATCCCAGTGGAGCGTCAACCTCGACCGGCGACAGATGTGCTCCTCGCGATCGCTGCGCCCCTGGTACTTCTTAGTGTTTGTGTTAAGAGTGCGTTGCCGTTTCTCGTGAGCAAAACTAATTAATTTACATCAAAAACGTAAGGGCTTTGAATTTTATTTTGTTATTTTAAAGTAGAAACTTTGTTCACATCACATTTGTTACATTGTCAAAACAAATTATTATTTTTCTATTGTTCTTAAAAAATAATGCGACATTGTCAACAAGCATCGACGATTCAGTGAGAACTTTCAATTGCATATGTTCCAAATTTTGAAATATATATTTTAATTTAATTTAAATCATCAACAATGTGATTATAGTACTCAATTACCTATTGACTAAGTGACGTTGGTCTAAGTGGGTAATGTAATTGAAGATTATCATCAACTTTGTGGACACATATTTCATAATATTACAAAGCCGCAGATTTTTATAGCAACAAACAAAAAGCTTTATCGAAGTTCATTGACTTTTAAGATAGCGACTCATTGCAAATGTTGAAATATTTTTACGTCTTTACAAATTTTGTCGTTGATTTTTATCTATGGGTGGCTCAGTGGTAGAAAGCTTGGCTGCTATGCGGGCGGCCCAAGTTCGAAGCCGAGGAAGGACTTTTTTGAAGTGAAACTTTTCGGACGGATATGCGTCACGAGTGTCACACATATATATATTATGTGTGTGTGTGTGGTATGCGTGCGCAGTCCTTCCCGATGAGCATGAAAGTTGGAGGGTAACTCGGGGAAGGCTGAAACGCTACGAGCGTCAATTTTTGTTTGCACATAAATTTTTTTAAATAGCAACAAAAAAAACTGTTTTTTTTAATATGTTATATGAACGTTTTCTATGTTTCCTTAAGATTTTATGTCAATAATTAAGTCAACTAATTATAGAATCAAGTAAACCTTGCCGTCAATTACCAAGTTGAATAATAACCATTTAATTTATAATTTTTGTTTAAGTCGAAACAATTTGAACTAAACTTTCAAACCTGCCGATATTCAATATTCAAAAGACAATGACCCCAACAAAAGGAAATACCGACTGAGATTATGACCATTCACTGAAATAATTAATTTTGCTAATGAAACATTGGTTTAATAAGTTCAATTCAAACTCAATCCAAATTATATTGTTTTATACTTTCATGGTCACTAACATTATAGTAATATAAGTTACTCCGTGATCATGGCGCTTGCAACAGTGCCGAAATATCGGAAACTCGCTATAAACAAGGTACATGGTAATCAATCCAAATTAGAACCTTTTATCACTTTCTAAACTTTTATTAACTTTTTACTTTGATTAAAGTTGAAACTTTGAATTTCATTCCAATAACAATAGAACGAGACAACACGCGACTTAATAAAGCAGTAAGTTTAATGTCGTCTCTAAGTAAGACCGTGACAAAGAATACAACAGCTGCGGGCGATTGAGGCACCCTTGTAAGAAAATGATCTCCACTTTAAAATAGGCCAGAGGTAGGGCAAAGCGAATTTCCCTCTCAAATTGGAGCGCCCGTCTAACAAACCTTCGCCTCACAGAAGATCACAGTAAAGTAACAATATCTTTTGGTGGTGTCTTGTGTTTCTGTCGATGAATAAAGTTCCAGAGTTTCACGGAGTAGGGGATTTAATCAGGATAGACAACGGCGCGAATGATTTTAATTTTGGTATCGCAAGGGTGTTTAACTTACAATAAGAAAATTAACACCTATCAAATAATATTGTTATTTAATTAGCTGAAGACAGTTATCAGTATCTCTCCTATATGCTATGGTGGCCTCTTAAACCAGGCCTTATGCTCGTTTGCCACCTTTATAACACAAAAAATACAGTACAATTTCAAAAGAAAATATTATAACAATATAAGTACAATTTCGCTAACTTTTAGTGGGGATTACCTACTGGTTGTGGTTCTGTTTTCTCGCAAGTAAGGTTGCCGTATTTTTTCTAAGTTAAATCCAGTTTTAACTAGCGCGTTAGGATGTCTGAAGTGACATTCTCTGTATTAATATCAGCCACTTTCGCAACAAGACTCCACTTAAATACTAATACATTTAACATCAGGTAGAGTGTCTTAATTAGCTTAACCTGGGAATAAAAGAAATTGTTTCTTTGTAAAACTAGACCAAAAGATATCTTAAACGCAAGATAATTTTAAACAAACATAAATTAAGGTTTATAATTTATTATTTACACAAGATTAATAACCGCGAGCGCAAGCTTATACCTAATGACAAGAATTACAAAGAAATATATTTCATCCGGTACAAGTATTACTTTGAATTATACGTAGGTACTAAAGGACTTAAGGAAATTGGTGGTGGATCACGGCCCAATCTCCCTATTTTCCACCCTTTACATCTATCCTATTTACCATAACTATATAATAAAGTGTTCACTGCATGGTATTTTTCGTTATATTATTTCTATATTTTGTCACATGCCTTGTGGAGCCTTGAAACCTTAATCATCAAAAAACAAAAGACTAGCACCCACTAGAGTTAAAATAGAAATGTTTGAAATACCACGGTGAAACATCCAATCTTTCAAGGTTTAAACACTTTCGGACACATCTGTCGACCCACATAGTAGTAGTTGATCCCTAAAACTTAAAAACAAATGAGGAGCTGGCGAACAGGACAAGAAATCTGCAAAATTTTCCCACTAGGGGCGCTGTAATCGCTTGACCCAAAACTTCTATCAAATACATACCTATTAGCTGATATTAATTTTAAAGCTTTTTATGAAACAAATTACAAATGCCGCGTTGTGCAATTCTTGGTTGTTGTGAGAAAACTGCATGGTACCCGACTAAAATATAATTTTATATTTTGATTTAAAAGGGGAGGGGGGGGGGGTAAACTGAGCTGCTGTTTACACCATGGTATGTATCTGGGACAGGTAATTGCATCTGGATGTCTTCATTTTGATCAGAAAAAACTGCACAAAAAATAAAACTGCGGTCATATGCTTCAAGTCTGTAAAAAAACCCAACGTTATACTTCTCATTTTAGCCAGAGGTAACCTAACTCTATGTGATATCTGACTGATGCAAAAATAAGATAGATTTGACTAATGAGCCCGCTAAAAGTTACTGAGATCCATACACGATTAAAATAATCATGAAAAATGCATCTATGTACCGAGAATGAGCATTCTAGCTTAATAATAGAAGGAGTGCCTTTCTACTAGATCAGCTTTTCTGCCTTGCACAGATGCTCCTCTCCTTTTCAACTCTGTTTTCGGCTGTATTACAGACCATGCTGAATACACTTTTACCACTTTTTTAAAAAATTAACAACAAAAAAGCACGTTTCAAATTTGACAGCTGCAATATTCTGCTGTGGTTTGGGTAACTTCTCCATTACATCAAATTAAAATAATACGAGCAGTAAAAAATTGAATGACATACCTACAGTGAGCTTTTGGCGTGATTTTAATTTAGTAATTTTAACACTATTTTTTGATTAACATGAGTTGAAATTCAAATTCAGCTGGCCCAAAGTCTGTAAAAAATAATAATAATCTGTCGGGCTGTAAAAATAAAGATTATATGGTCAAAACCATATTATTAACAATTTTACTAAAAACTGTGACAGTAAAACCTTGTGATTCACAGAGCTATTTGCGTTACTGAATAGCTATATCAGATTCTTACTGACTGTATACACTTGAAGCTCCGCTGAAACCGAACGGGGAATCTCTTATAGGGAGGATGGCAAGTGCATGAGTCCTACGGATTTTTTTACTAAATAGGTAACTGATCAAAGAATTATATAACAATCCTAATTCATTCATGAACAGATGTTATTAGTTATTTGGAAAGAAATGATGGCGAATAACACGTACAAATTGTTCGGTACAACTTTTTCTTATATAATAGCTAAGTAATTAGGCGTAAAGAGACTTTTAATAACTAAAGAAAATATAACTAGAAAAAAATCCACTCGGACCAGGCAGCAGACTTCACTTGATTTGAACATCGAGCATGTAGATGCTTACTAAATAAAAATTGCAATAACTATTTATTCAAAATCATTAATAAAACAAATGTACAATGAAAGTGGATAAGTAACCTTTTTTAGGTAAAAAGTTAACGCGCGTTTTACGTTTTGCTCTATGGTAAACCGTTTTCTTTATAAGAACGATTTTAATATAAATCTATAAGTAAATTAAGTACTAACAATCTTTTAGTATGGGACATTTCAACATTATCTATACGTTTTCACTATTTATTCTATCCATGCATTCACATAAAAAGAAATTGCCAACCTTCTTCAACCGAAGCAAAAGAAATTCGGCGAACCCGAAATTTTAACGAAACCGTACTTTGCTACAACGCTTTAAGACTAGTATTCGCTTAAAAATGTATTCCATGCAATGTTTAAGAAACAAGAACAATACTGGGATTTTATTTTGCTATCCTTTCAAGGCGGGCAAAGATAACTTTGTTTGTTGCCGTTAGCGCTGTAAATATGCGGTTTGGGTTTCAACGAGTTTACTTAAACGCGGTTTTCTTTGAAAAGCTCGATAGAACAATAGTATAAAAGGCCAGCCTTTCATTATGAAGCTTGAGCCACTCTGGTGAAGGTTGGTTATCGAATGGCGTATAACTTTTGAGGCTACTGTCCGAAATAGAAATAGCATGATTAGGTACTCCACAACAGTCACTTTGATTCATAAATATGTTAGGTATTTAATAGAACAAAGATTAGCCTACAATACTAACATATTGGAACGAAGTTCCTTACGGCAGGCTTGGAGGGGATAGGGATTTTGCTGCGCGACCGAACTGAAAAAAATGTGATAGTAAAACCGTAAGAAAAAATCCGTGGAAAAAAGTGCGTGGAATAAAACCGTTAAATGAGACGTGCGCAGGCGCGACAGTCGCATACACAAGCGAGTTTGCAATTTGTGTCGATTCTACATTAGCCGAAGGAACTTCGTTCCTACCTGGTGTCCCACGACACCACATCATTATCTTTTTTTTATATTTTGAGTATTTATTTAACTTCTAGATCTAAAGAAAATTTTACTAGAAAAATTCTACGCGGTCCGGGCAACAAACGGATATCGAACCCGAATCCTATTGGGG